GAAAGGAAAGAAAGTCAAAATCTTTATATTCCATGGCATTGTCGGAGCGAAAAAGCTTAATATTTTTAGAAAATTGTGTTTTAACCATTGTAGCAAAATTGTAATAAAGTTGTTTGAGTTCAGAGCGATTTTTCATAAGAAACAACCATGTAAAACGGGAAAAATCATCTATAAAAACAACAAAATAACGTGCGCCGCCCATAGTAGGAGTAGGAGAGGGTCCCCAAATATCGAAGCTGGAGAGAGGAGCGGGCGGAATAATGAAGTCCATGAAACAAGGTACCTTTGAGATAACGAAGGATACGAACTAATGCAGCATAATGAGGGGTACGAGGAGCTGACATAAACTGGCTGACAATATGGACGGCATAGGCAATATCAGGACGAGTAACAGTGAGATAGACAAGGCTGCCAACCAGCTGTCGATATAGGGTAGCATCAGATAGAAGAGTGCCATCAAGAGGTGTAAGACGACTCTGAGGCTCCAGGGGAGTGGAGGCAGTCTTGCAATCCGTAAGACCAGCGCGGGTGAGAAGATCAGAGGTATACTTAGCCTGAGAGAGAAAAGTCCCTGTGGAATCATGGAAGATTTCAAGACCCAAGAAATAGCTGAGAGGACCAAGGTCTTTCATCTCGAAATGATGGCTAAGAAATTGTTTAAGATGAAGAATACCATTGACATCATCACCGGTGATAATCATATCATCCACATAAAGAAGAAGCAAGGTGGTCCCTTGAGCAGTTTTGCGGATAAACAGTGCAGTATCATAAGAGCTGGAGGTGAAACCACAGTCATGAATAGTAGAGCTGAACTTGGCAAACCAAGCGCGGGGAGCTTGTTTGAGACCATATAAAGCACGTTGAAGTTTGCAGACTTTATGAGGTGGATAAGTAGACCCAGGGGAGGTTGCATGTAGACCTCCTCAAGAAGAACACCATTAAGAAAGGCATTTTTCACATCCATTTGATAAAGATCCCAGTGTCGGGTAGTAGCAACTGCAATGAGGCTGTGAACAGAGGTGAGACGAGCAACAAGAGCAAAGGTCTCCTCATAGTCAATCCCATATTCTTGATTGAAGCCTTTAGCAACAGGGCGAGCTTTATAGCGCTCAATAGAGCCATCAGAACAGGTTTTGATTTTGTATACCCATTTATAGCCAATGGCAGTCTTGCCAGGAGGAAGATCAACAATGTCCCAAGTGTGAGTTTTGTCTAAAGCCTGTAATTCATCAGTCATAGCTTGCTGCCAAAGAGGATTAGAGCGAGCCTCCCGATAGGAGGTGGGTTCATAAGTAGAAAAAGCAGTAGAACCAACAATAAAGTCACGAAGACGAGTAGAAGGTTGGATTACCCGGTGTGGTCGAGTAGGAGGAGGAGGAGCCAGAGGAAGAGACTCAACAGGGGGTGAGGAGTCCGAGGGAGCAAGATCAGGACCATCAGAGCTGGCAGGTGCTTGAGAAAGACCAGTAGGCAAGGCAGTCTCAAGAGAGTCAGGCATGGGCAGTGGAGGAAGCTCATCAGAAAACAGATCTACAGAAGGGTTAGTAAAACACAGAGAGGGTGAGGGAACGGATAAACGGAATTGAGAGAGGGAGGAAAACATTGTGTGTTCCCAAAAGACCACATGACGAGAGATACGGAGACGCTGGGAGAGAGGATCCCAACAGCGATATCCTTTATGTTCAATACCATACCCCAAGAAGCAACAAAGGCGAGAACGAGGTTCAAGTTTGGTACGTTCATGAGGTTGGAGAAGAACAAAACAGGCAGAGCCAAAAACCCGAAGGGTGTCGTAAGGGGGACGGGTGCCATGTAAACGCTCATATGGAGTGTGATTATGAATGACCGGTGTAGGGATACAATTGATAGGGTAAGCAGCAGTGAGAGCGGCTTCTGAAGCTGGCAAGCGTATGTAGATATCTTGGTCACTACTGTCTTCGAGGCTCTCCCGGGTATCAATCAGATCCCCAAACCACATCAAACAACCACTGCCACCTCCACTAATGTTTGAATTAGCATAAGCTATACAAGAACAGTTCTTCAAACACTCCTCCTCACATTCCTTGATGCTCATACCTATGTTTAACCGAAACTCCAACAGGTCAGGCAACTTGACCTGTACAACCTTCACAAACCCGTCTCCATTCTGGCAATCTAATGGCACGCTTCTTGCGCATCCACTGGACCAATCAAGAACATCCCATTCTTGTTGGGATTTTGGAATGAACCCCTTCAAACACTTGCACAACGGTGATTTGTAGGTTCTGCAAATACCATTAGGACCACAATATCCATAACTGTCGCAGAGGTCACGTGGAGCCATGAACATAAGATCCCAAGTGTTCTTTTTGTTCAGTATATAGCGTTGAAGCAACCCCGACTCGTTTAGTGTTAATCTTGTAAAGACAGAGCTGTTGTATGGTTCATAGATATATATCAATCTATTGTTGTTGAACTCCAACATTGTTTTAAATGCCGGATTGTTGTACAAGGGAAGATTAATGAATGTGAGTTTTACCCCAGACCGGTACTTTTTTATTGATCCCATTCTAAGTACTAGTTGAGGCAACCCATGATTATCAACTCTGTAAGTAAACTCTCCCGGAGATGGATCGTCAACGCTTTTCCATGATGTCAAGTACTGATCTAGACTTGTTCTGTTGTTCTCTCCCATCTCCAGGTCAGGTATCCGCGTATTGCATGGGAAATCAAAGCTCTGCCGTAGGAAACTATCAGAATTTGTTTCTGTCTTGCTAAATAGAACAAGATTTCCAGAATCTAAGAGCTGTGACACTGGACTTTCTTCGACTCTTAACAGGTTAGATGACCAGACAATGCTCTGTGTTCCATTGAGAAGAACCAGTGATCTAAAAAGAGAAAGAAAAGGCTATGTTTAATCTAGTTTTAAAATATGTTTTTAAAAATAAATAAATAAAAACTTCTCATTTCAATATGGTTTTATCTTTCTAGGGACAAAAAAATTAAAAAATATTTTTTTGGTATTTATTTTTGTCAAATTAATTTATAATTTTCTCAAAAAAAATTTCAAAAAAATTGATTCAAACATTGAAACCAAACATAGTCTTAGGGTTTTAAAATTGAAAATGATGGTAATATTAGAATATAGGGATGTGTACTAAGAATTATATTTTTATAATGTGTGTATTAAGAAGGCGTTCATTAAGTGTGTGTACTGAGAGGAATTAGTGTGTGGAAATAGAATAACCCTAACTTGTCCTTATGGACAATATGTTTCAACACTTGGACCTCCAAACAAAGAAAATATAGGATTGGATATATCAACCGACAGCCTTTTTTAGAATTGTTTTCTAATTTATTCATTTTTTTTTTTTAAATTGCAAAGTAATTTGACAAAATAAACACCAAAAACATATCTTGATATTTTCAAAAATTATTTCCACCCTAAAAAGATAAACCATATTTTTCTTTAAAGGGAAAAAAGACGAACCATATAAAAATGCAACTACTCTATAAAAATAATCATTTTTTTTTTCACCAAACTAATTTTCAGTGAACAAAATTTAAAAAATCAACCAAATATAAAGATTTCTGAAGCTGGTTGCAACTTGTGGGCAAAAACTTGATAAGGAGAGCTTCTAGTAAAAAGTTCACAGTTTAGAAGGATCATACATCATATGACTCGAACAAAAACAAAACTAAATGACCAAACCCATTCAAAAACAACAACAACAACAAAACTTTCATTAGCTGAACTCAAATGTCTGGACCGTAAAAATAAAGGCATGTTAAATTATGCAACTCAAAACCAATTGACAATATTTAAATATAATAACTAAGCTTGGGTGGCTTAGATAGACAATGTGAGACAAGTCTATCGGGGCTCTAACTGTGTTAGAGTGACCATGTTGGCTGAACATGGTTCATTCTTGCTTCGTGACAACTCTTCTTCAAGCAGATTCCTTTCAGTGAAAAAAACAGGTGGTTTAGGTTGATGAGTCAGAGCACCCTCTCCGCCCAACATCAGAACCACTGTCGACATGTTAGGCCTATCCTCTGGCCGATGTTGCACACACAATAAACCCAAATGAATTGAACACAACACTTCGTGTAAATTGCATGAGTTTTCTATTGCTGCATCAATCAATTCTGTTGCCTTGCCTTCCTTATAAAGTATCCAGGCCTGAACAATTGGAAACACTTTTAATCAGTTGTTTAAAAAAAAGAAAAAAAAAATCCAATTCTATGCTTGCTTACATGCCCAAGAAGGTTGAGGTGATGATTTGGGTGATAGAATCCCCTGTTTCTCTTCCCACTCACTGTTTCTAATACCATAACACCAAAGCTAAATACATCTGATTGTACTGAGAAAAGCCCCTCAATTGCATATTCCGGAGACATGTAACCACTATAGGAAAACAATGAACAAATAAACTAGGTTATGAGCATTGTTGAAAGAGGATGATTAATTTTGAACGTGTTAGTATATTCTTACTATAAGAAATTGAGATAGATTGAGAGAGCAAATATTAGCTCTATGTTTTTGATGTATATTGCAACCAAATGGAACCTCCATTATATAGGAGATGTTTTACAAGACAAAATGATGAACAAAGGAAATATACAAATGAAAGGCCACCGAAAGATGGCTGAAAGCAAAAGAAAAAGAAGGTGTCTATCTGTGCTAGGCTAGCAACAACTCAGCTATAGATCTATACAGATTAATATAGTATTTATTAACATATTATAGGTATAGTATTAACAAATGTTGAGGTTTTTTTTTTTTGTTAAATCATAAAATTAGTAAATTAGGATTAAGATATTGAAACTCCTACAAAATTTATATATTAAAAACTCAATTTTTCTTATATAATATATAGATTGATAGATTCTTCCCATTGACAAACATAGGCAACCTTATGAGAAATCATTAGATAAGCACGCATATGCATGGTTCATAAATTAGAGTATTCTGTCATTGGCATGGAAATTATTGAGCCACATAACACTATAATTATAAAATCAAGGACGGAATCATGATTTTCTTTCGGGACTAAAATTTTTTATTTTTTAATTTAAATTTTATATCAATTGATATAAATAATTTTATTTCAATTAAAGAATGAAAAATAAATTAATACATAAAAAATAAAATAAGTTTCTACTTGAACAAAAGAAAACAATTTTCTAAAAAATCATCATCCGTTTTGTTACAACACATAATTTTAATAATCTTCTTCATAATTATACTAGTTACTGAAAAAGTAAGCACAAATGCAATTACTTTACAAACAAGTGGATAGATTGCTTCATTTTTTAGTCATTCTCAACCATTGAGACAAATTTTTTGTAATTTCTTCATTGTATTTTCTTATGATCCATGAAGCTATGAAAATAAAACTAAATGACTGAAAACATTCGTATTTTCCCTTAAAATTTTTTATTTAGTATTTTTTTAATTCTAATAAAATTTACTCAACATTTTTCGTATAACAATAATATTCACTGTTATAATAGGCAATGGCATGGAAATAATGACTCAAATTTATTTGTGAGATGTCAAGCCATTCAATAATTTGTCATTTAAACGAGGCTAGTAATCTTCCTTTTGGTTATTCCAAATCGAAATTCACAATATGCACTTGTTTGAGAATTTCTCTTTTTCATGTGTAATGTTAGAGTTATCTAATTTTTCACGTAATAATTTACACACGCATTCACATAGTGTGGAATAACATTTCTCTTTTCATATCTTTAAAGTTGTGTTTGGTTTATAAATTTAGAAAAGAATTTTAAAAGAAAAATGGAAAAAATAGATAAAATATAAATGAAATATAATTATATTTCACTTACATTTTATACATATTTTTATTTCTTTTTAAATTCATAAACTAAATACAACCTAAAAATATGCTCAATATAAGTTATATTATGAATCTTGCAAGAAACAAATAAATAAAAATTTCAAATACACCACTGTTTCCTTGTTAATAGAAAGACGTGGGCAATTAAAAAGGGATGAGAGTCCGGATCCTTTGCCGTGATTTCCTGCAATGGTCCCTGTGGTGGTGCCAAAACGACTTCGTTTTGGCACTTCTTTTTTTTTTGTCCTTCCTTCTTTCTTCTCTCTCTCAAACATTTGGAAACCAAACCTAACAAACAGAGAGGCGAGAGAAAGAGAGGAGGAGGACGAGGAAGAAGAAGAAGAGAAGATGTCGGAGATGGAGGAATAGGAGAGGAAGAGGATCGAAACTATTTTTCCCTTTAACAATGAAGTTCGCAGATTTACCCAAAACCCACTACCAATTTCTGACCCAGGTCCTTCGAAATCAATCCTAACGAAAACCCCTATCCTCTCATCGTGAAACCCTCAACGTTGCCCCGCCTACGCTGCCAGAGAGAGAGATTTCATGTGAAGTGTTTGATAACAAATACATCTTCATGTACAGGTTTGTCCCATTCTCTCTCTCTCTCTCTCTCTCTCTCTCTCTCTCTCTTCTTTTGAATTTGAGAACCTTGTTATATGTTTTTCTCTCTATTTTTTTTTATGGGAAAGTTGAATTTTCTGGGAAAATTTTGTTTAATCACAGAAAATTCTATATATGTTTGAGGAAAGTCCAATTCTTTTTACTCTACAAAATATGGGCTCACTAATTGGAGATGGAATGGATGTAGAGAATCCAATTCTGTTCACTGTGTTTGGATGTGGAGAAAACTGAGTCAAATAAAAGGGAAAATTTGTAGTTTATGTTTCTTATTTTGGTCTCTGGAAATTGAGAAACTGAAAAATATATATATATATATATATGTATATTTTTATATTGGACCCAAGAGAGTTTGCTCTCAATATGGGAAATTCAAACCCAAAATTTTAATTTGATCTATTATCATTACATTTTCTGAAATATATATATATATATATGTATATTTTTATATTGGACCCAAGAGAGTTTGCTCTCAATATGGGAAATTCAAACCCAAAATTTTAATTTGATCTATTATCATTACATTTTCTTTGCAATCAAACATGATTGATTGTTTTGTTCTCTTACAAAATTTCCATCTTTGTTTTTGGGGTTATTCAAATTTATATGATTTGCAGAGGGGACACTTCATTCTGTAGTGAAGAGTGCAGACAACAGGCCAATGAAAAGAATTGGAAGATCTACGCTTCCATGAAAGCCTTGAGGATTGATCAAAAGAAACCCAACAAACCCTTTCCTTCTGTGTCTCTTCTTTCTCTCTTTTGTTTCTGTTTTCTTGTTTTTTTTTTTTTTGCCCTTTTTTTTTGTGCCCCAAAACGACCATTTTGGGGCACCACAAGGACCATTGCAGAGGATCCGGACTCGTATACTTTGGGCCATATGTGTAAAGTCCATATATATATATATGTTTTTTTTTCTCTTTTTTTTCTCATTGATTTTTAGTAAGATTCATTTCTTTTTATAATTAACTATGATTAAGGAATTAACTAGCCATTTCATAATTCAAGGGATTTTGATTGATTTATAATTTAAGGAATTTGTTTGATCAAATCCTTGATTTTTTTTCCCTACTTTCATACTAGGAATTATATATTTTTTTTCTCTTATTGATTTTCTGTTAGATTCATTTCCGTTTGTAATTAACTATGATTAAGGAACTAACTAGCAATTTCATAATTCTAGGGATTTTGACTAATTCATAATTCCTTGATTTATTCTTACTTTTTCTTTCAGACTTGGAATTATATATATACACATATTCCTAGTGGTTTAAGATACATAAAAAGTTCTCATTTCTTCTCTATTTTTCCCACACAGTTTCTTGGTTTTTTTGGGTTATTTCTTAGATGAGTTCAAGTATTGCTTAGTGAGTACATCCATTCTTTCTCTATTATTTATTATGGGGTTTTTTGGGAAGATGGTTAAAAGCTATTTTTTGACTTTTTTTAGCCTTTTTGTAAGAGAATGAAGTGGGTCAAAAGCAGAGAAGATGGTTAAAAGTATGTTTTTATCTTCTTATAGCTATTTTAGTTTGTTAATCAAACAGAGTTTTTATATATATTTTCCAACAAATTTTAATTCAATTTTAAATATAGAGAGTTGGATTACCATAATAAAACTACTATAGAGAATCTTGATCACAAATGAAATACAAAATATGTCATTAATACTCCTACAGTTGAAGTCTCTATGAGAGAAAAAGAATGTTTGAGATAGGGATAGTGAGAAAGAAAACTGAATTCTCTGTCCCATTCTCTCGTCTTTTGTCCCAAACACCCTTCCTATCACAAGATCGAAATTACAGAGATAGATCTTATGACAAAAAGAGTGTTTGGAACAGGGAAATAGGAAAGAGGGGAACAGAGTGGAACATAGAAAACTGCTCCATATGCTCACATTAGTTTTGTGTTAATAGTATTGTGACAATGAGCAATTTTGGGAACTTGGTTTTTAGCCACTTTTTTAGGTTTGTAGCAAAAGCCAAAAGTTGGCTTTTTTGTATTTTTTGTCATTTGGGAAGTTGGTTTTTAGCCACTGATGAAATTATAATTCTATCCCTCATATGTCAAAATGTACTACATGAGTGAAGTTGTAAATATTTTAAATTGAATGAGGATAGTTTGGTCGTTTTATTGTGATTTGATATCATGAACAAATATTAATAAAAAAAAACAAAAAGTAACTTTTTACCAACTTCCCAAATCATTTGTCTAAAAAAAGTCAAAAACTTGGTTAAAAGCCAAAAAACTACTTTTTACCAATATATATGCTCAAATTAGTTTTATGTTAATAGTACTGTAACAATATACATATATATGTATTTTTAATTTCAGCAGCCCCTTCCCCACTAATATATATAGTTTTTGTGTATTGTGGTTCTCATTATTATAACATGTAATCCAACTCATACCCTTAATTTCCACTTTAATTAGCTTTACACATAATATAGAGTTTTTTAAAAACAGTGTGTTTGGTTTGAGTTTTTTGAATTAAGTTTTTTGAAAACTGAGTTTTTTTATTTTTAGTGAATATTTTTAAAATTTTAAGCATTTTTTTTCTTTTTTAGATACACCTTACTTAGATGTATCTAAAAAGTAAAAAATTTGTGAAAAAATATTTTAAAAAATTAATAAATACATAAAAATACAAAAAATGTACTGAATTCTCTTTTTTTTTTGTATTTTTGGTATTTAGTGAATTTTTAAAAGGTTTTTTCCTCAAATTTTTTTACTTTTTAGGTATATTTATATTAGGTATGTCTAAAAATTAAAAAAAAAATTGCTTAAAATATTAAAAAAATTCAATAAAAACAAAAAAATACGAAAAATAAGACAGTAAAATTTTCTAAAAACTATTTTCAGAAAAACGAA